GAGGGCAGAACTGGCTATACCACCCTGAGCTTTCTAGGATAAAAAAAAGATACTGAAATAAATTAATAATACGAAATGACAGGGCTGGATAATGGTCAAAGGGACTGTTTATTTGATCTCCTTTTTTAAAAAAAGACTTTAGTTCCACACTGGAAGGTACCCAGCCTCTAAATGTAAAAAGAAAATCTGAAACCACTTAACACTTTTGCAGAAGCTCCCAAAATTGCATGTACATGAGACATAGGAGGGAAGGAGTATTGACTGTCACAGCTGCCATCACGGACATCGTAGCAAGTCACCCAAGCTTTCCCCCAACACACACCACACACCCATTCCAGATGTTGCTCACAACCAGGCCTTTGGGGCTGAGAGGAACTAACCACCTAGGTCCTCACCTACAGAGGGAGCAACATTAATAAAGCACTACACCTGCCATGAGTAGATCCCTTCCTTTCCAAGGTAAGTAAATGTAACCCCTGGACTAGAAGTAATTTCTGGAGTTTGGGCTGTTGATTTTTGGCTGCTGAAAAAGGGAGGAGAGGGTCCCCTTTGACCACCCAAAGAGCTATGGTCATGGGACCTACATGGACCATAGCTCCATGGGGCAGGGACTGTAGTGAAGAGAAGAATTGAGTGAGAGTCAGCAAACCAGAGATGTTCCAACCTCCTGGTACTATCAACAGAGAACAAGATAAGCTGGGCAGCCAGGAGCCAGCATGCATCCCCCTCTGGGCCCCCATGCATGCCACATTTGAGGGAACACATCAGAACACACACAAGATACCTGTAGAACAGGGCTGTTGCTTTCATCTCTGAGGTTCGTCTTGACCAGCTTTCCAGCCTCCCAGCAAGTTGTACCCTGAGTCCTTGCCCTTCTCAGTGGCCTTGAAGAGAAAGGCACACCAACCTCCCCCATCAATGTAGTGTCCCTGTGAGTTTGTCTGGCTATGCTATCAGCATCAATTTGCACCCAGGTAGACCCAGAAGACAGAAGAAAGGTGGTGACCGCCAGTGGGCATAGGGCAGCAGCTGATTTTTGCTCTTTACTGAGAAGCGCCAAAGTGTATCCAGCATCAAAGCCAAGGAGGGGGAAAAACTTAATGAAAAATCCCTTTTAGGTTCAAGGATCAAGAAGAAAACAGACTTGTCAATCACCGAATCACAGAGTGGGAAGACGACCAGAAAAGGTTACCCATCCGTTCCTGCACAAAAGGTCCATTCATCCATTGGCCTTCCACAGGTCCATGCAGGTCAAATGCCCTGGCCAGAGCTCCACAGGCAAGGGCAATGTGAGACAAACAAGCCTGGCAGTATTCAAGGGCAGCTAACACCACCTTAAACAGCATCTGGCTGAAGAGTAGCTGAGTGATCACATCTGAGCCCAAACTATCCACCCTGTTCCAGTTTCTCCATTTCCCAAAAAGCACATCCATTTCAAGTTGCATTTTGACAGCTTTTCTTCATGGTTTGCTGTTTTCATCCAAATCCTGAATGGAAAGCCCTGCTAGAGGAATCCCCCAAAAGTCATTTTTAAGTCTCTAAGGGGTTATGCAACTCGTGAGCTAGTCCATAAAGTCCACACATTTTTGCACGCCCGTTCAAATTTTTAAAAACCTGCTGCATTGAAATGCACATTTCAGCACAAAAAAAAGTGAAACTCACAAAAACTTGGCTTAATTCCTCTCCAGATCCAGTCTGACTGTTCTTCCTAGGCAAATTCATCCCAGCTGTGCACTGAATCCTCTCATAGCTCAACTCCGTCACCCGTTTGCTGTGAAGCACTGCATTGCCTCTGAACCGGCTCCTTTGGCTCTCACTTCATACACAAGCGTGGGCTCTCGGGACTAGTTTTCAGCACCAGGCAGAGATGGGAATCTTCAGAAGAATCCTGGAACCCCAAAGCTTTGCGGTGTCAGGCAGCCCTCCAAATTAGCAAATACATCGTGCTGAGCGGCAGCAATGACAAGTCTGGCCACAATCTGGAAGGGCGATACCCAGCAAAGCGGCTGGCCAATGTACACCTTGGAAATGCTCCCACTAGGGTTCTGAGCTCCAAAGAAAAAGGGGTTCCCTCCCGACTGCCAGTTTAGGGGGGACACACAGCTGCTCGATATGAGGCTCATCCAGAGAGGCCTTCTGCAAGTCCTGGATCAGGCCTGGAAAAGTGCAAGGCCTCTTCTGTATTTCTGCGGGCCATGGGGCTTGTTCCCATCTTGATCAAAAATTTTCCCCCTCCTGATAAGAAGTGTGACCCCATTTCCAGAGCCTTCACTGCTTCCTTTTAAGAGACTCTTAACAGTGGGATGTTACTGTTGGAATCCAACTTGTTCAGTACAAGTGACCCCTGTATGGAGCCACCTGAGGTTTGGGCACTATGCTCAAAATCATCTCTATGCCCTCCCAAGCCTCTAGTGATTCCTGGATTATTCCCACACTCACTTACCTAAGCCGGGAATCTAGCATTACACTTGTCTGGGTGCCAACTTTGCATTGGTAAGGGATTCCCCCTCCCCTGACCACCTCCCCACTGCCTGCCCACAGTTTGCTGTAGCTGCAGGAAATACACACGCACACTCCACTTCAAAAGATGGCAGCTGGTCCCAGAAAGGCTGCCTTCGACTGCAAGCCTGCCAAGAAGATACCCCTGCCCACTCCCGCCCCATGTTTCCATGGGATAACATGGAGGGAATGGCAGACTTAACCCCCCACCCCAGCTTTCATGAATGCAGAATATCCATTGTGTGTCACTCTTGCAAGGCAGAGGAAATAAAGCCATAGCGCTGCAGCTCATTCCACTCCTCCACCCCCTGTGGGGGGGGGGATGTGCAGGAAAAGGCAGCCCCAAGGACTAAGGGGTAAAAGCGCCTGCCTTCCTTATGAAAATGAGATAATGTGGGGCTCTTCAGCTTAGAAAAAGATGACTAAGGAGTGTACACAGGAGAGGTTTACACAAATCTGCACAGTGTAAAGACAGAAGATAGAAAGAAGCATTGTTTTTCTTCCTCTCTCAAAATACTAACTCTCAGGGGCACCCCGTGAAGCTCATGGGCAGCAAATTCAGGACAGACTAAGGACGTAGTTATTCACACAACAAAGAATTAACTTCTGGATCTTACTGCCAGGGGGTACAGCAATGGCTTTAAAGGAAGATACACAAATTCACCAGTGGTTACTAGCTAGGATGACTAAATGGAACCTCCTTGTTTGGAAGCAGTATACCTTTTGTCAGTTATAGATGTGTAGTAGCAGGAGGAGGTTTCTGCCTTTGTGCTCCTTTTATGGGTCTTGTGGGGCATCTGATCAGCAGGCATTGTGGGAAACAGTACGCTAGACTAGATGGACTATTGGTCTGACCCAGCAGGGCACTAAGCCAGTGTGGCACTAGCCATCCCTCCCCTGGCCTGCCATCTTTGGTTCCCTCACCTGTCCCATGTTATTGGTGGTCATTTGAGGTGAGGGGCCATGGCTCATTGGCAAGGCATTTGCTTTGCAAGCAAGAGGTCCCAGGTTTGATCTCCAACACCTCCAGTTAAAAGGACCAGGAAGTGGCTGATATGAAAAGACCTCTAACTTGAAACCCTGTAGATCCATTGCCAGTTAGAGAAGACTGTTCTGACCTTCACCGGCTAATAGTCTGATTCAGTATACAACAGCTTCATGTGTTCCTGCAATAGCTGCCAGGGCCCAGGGAATACTGAATTTCCTAACCAGATATTGTACACCGACCACTGCTTACATGACTTGGGACACAGCCGCCGGGCATATAAAGGACAGAAAAGGGCAGTGGGTGAAGAACAGCTTAGTAGTTCCAAAACAGGCCAGAGAAGGAGGTTCTTTTTCACGGCATGAGGTACTAGCGTGAATCGGAAGTCAGGAACAGCCAACATCGGTTAGGAGAAGCTGCCTCTGCTGAGGATTAGCTGGGAATTGCTGGGTGATGCCCAGCAGAGGAAAGAGCTTCCGATGGAGGAAGGAGAGCGTCTCTCAGCCCCTCAGACCCATTTCACCCCCCACCCAATGCCAGATCCTGGGGTCCTGCTTGACTTTCTAGAAGGGCTGCCAGAACTTCCCCCTGCCATGGTGGGTTGGGGGGGAGGGGGTGAATCAAGGGGTGCCGCTCCCCTCGATGGGGAGTTCTCCCTCACAAGTCTCCTGAATGCTGCCACTCCATGCAGCCGATGAGAAAGCCTGGCCCCAGCCCAGTTAGTCAACCTTGAGCATCCGAGTTTGACCCCGGCAGCCTTCTAGCGGCCCTCCTCAGCGGGCGGGGAGTGGGGAAAGGGCTGTCTAGCGCATGGCCCTGCTAGAACTTTGTTCCTCACCACCCATCTCCTGCTGGGAACCTGTGTCCAAGCGACACGCCGAAGCGCCTGTCATTCATCTGGACTATTTGACATCCCCCCTCCCCCCTCCCGCAATACAACCCACGTTCTGGATTCCTACAGACACCCCCTTCCCCACCCCCCACCCCCAGAAAAGCTTTCTTGCCTGAGAACGCACCTGGCGGCCGGACTGCGAGGAGACGGGAGGGGATCCGGCGGTCCCCAGCTCAACGGGCAGGGCAGGCAGCGCCTCCGTCCTCCGGGCAAAGCCCCCCCGTCCTCCGGCCCGCAGCTCCGGCTGGACTGCAACCAAAGATGGTCTCCCCCCCCTCCTTCTTCTCCCAACTCAACTTTCCAAAGCGAGGAGGCGGCTGCGTGCCCCCTGTGGGCATCTAGGATGGGGGGAGCTCCTGTCCTGCGGGGGCCGGGAGGGCAGAAGACAGGGAAGCGGGCGACCCCTGATGGGCATCCAGCCCCCCACCCCACCCCGCTCCGCTCCCCACGGCTGCCTCCGCTCCCACCTTGCGCGGGCTTCCCGGGCCAGACACTTCTTCGTGCCCAGCTGGGTCTCCTTGAAACGTTCCTGCAGTCTCCCCGCGCGCGCTCGCCACCTACACGCGAGAAGAACTGCCCGGGCGTCGCTCTCGGCGCTCCCTCCGCGCAGCCCAGCCGCAACACCGAGGGAGAGAAAGAGACAGAAGACGCCGGCTACAATCATGGCAGGCAAATCCCTCGGACCCGCGGCGCAAAAGCAGCTCCGATGAGATCCGCCGGGGCGCCCCTTCCCCTCCGCCGCCGTCGTCGCCCGAAGAGTCCCCCCTCGCTCGCTCGCTCGGCCGGCCGGCCAGCCCGCCCCGCCGCCGCCGCCGCCGTCCTCCTCCTCAGCTCCTGCGAGGCGGAGGCGCGGTTCTCGGCTCCCCCGGCAGCATCGCGCCTGCCTTCCTGGCTCCTCCCGGCGGCGGCGGCGGCGGCAGCGGCGGCAGCAGCAGATCGACGCCGAGGAAGGCGATCAGAGCGGCGGCTCCATCCAGCCCGGCACGTCTCTGCCGGACTCCGTGCCCGACGACGCCGACCGAGAGGAGGGAGGCGAAGTGAGCCGCAGCCGCCGCGGAGCTGACCGGCGGGGGGAGGAGGAGGAGGAGGAGGAGACAGACGGACGGACGGACGGACAGACCGACCCGCGGCAGGCAGCCTCCCTCCACGCCGGTCCTTCCGCACCAGGCGAGCCCACCGGACCGGACTGGATCGGGCTAGGGAGGCCTCCAAGTTCAGCCTCGCGGACGGCGGGGACGAGCCGGCGGGCACCTTTTGCGCCCAGGGGGCGGCCCTTGGTGGGGCCTGGGGGGAGGGGCGAGGGCGAGGAGGCGGAGGCTCGGCTGCCCTCGCCAGTCCGCGCCTTTACTCGTGGGCCTGGGACGGCAGCCCCCACCAGGGGGTCGCCTCGGTCAGGCACATGGCAGGCGGCGGCGTCCCCCTGCACGTCCCTTCCCAAGCGGCGGCAGGTGCAGGGGCGCGGCAAGAAGCCGGGGGGCCCTGCTCCGCTGTCCTCCCGCGGACCCCCGGGCCGGTGTCCACTCCCCCTCGGGCGTTAGGGGCGGATCAAGCAAAAGGGGAAGGGGGCCAAGACAGCCGCGGCTCCCTGCCCTGGGACCGTGGGGCGCCGCCGTGCTCAGAAGGGGCGGGTCCGGTGGCGGAGCAGAGCCGCGCAGGATGCCCGCGTTGCAACAACGGCAGCAGCTGGGGGGGGGGGGGGGGGGGGGGGGGGGCCCCCCCGGGGGGGGGACTGGCAGCGCGATCCTCCCCCCTTTGGGGGTGGGAAGTCTGAGGTGGGCCTTTTCATTCGAGGGGGCTCTTCTGGGTGGGCAACCCCCATCTGAGGGCTTGGGACAAACCCTAGGCTTTGGACCAGGAACCAGGCAGTGGCACTTCGTAGGGCACTGCCCGCTGGTTCCCAAGACGTATAGGCTGTGGAGATCCCCGGGCTTATGGAGGAGAGCTGTTTGAAGTAGCAGGAATAGCTGTGGTTGAATTGGAGCACAAGGAACCAGGGACTGCAAACAGGGATCCGAGCAACACAAACAGGCAGTGCAAAAAGGGGGGGGGGCGGCACATATCCCGAATGGTCCATAGATAAGCAGCCTGGACGGGCCCCTGTGTGTGCGTTTCCCTAGCCACTGAGCAGCCACAACCGGACCTCGAAGTGCCGGGATTAGCAACCAGGTTTCTAGTGGGACGGCTTCACCTCTGTGCTTGGAAGCCATGCTGGCGGATTTCTTGCCAAAGGGGTTTCTTGCCAGCACTTTCCCCTCCTGAGGGAGGAGGACAGCTAGAGGAGCACGCGCACACCCACACACAGAGAGTTGAGCCTCTGTGCTTTCCATCCACCCCCAGTGCTGCTTTGGGACCATCCATTATGCCAAAACCAACTCCTCCATAGAAGACACCAGCTTTGGCCATCTTTGGCTGACCAGGGGTGGAGGCATGGGAAGCCTTGGCTTTCTCTAGGTGCCCCTCTTGCCAGGCGTGGCCTCACACATGGCTGATGGGCCCCAATTTGGGAAGGTGAGGATTGCCCCCACTTCCGTGTTAACAAGGGGAAGCCGCTGACCTGCACTTGCTACAAATGCTGCTTCCAGTGCTTCCTTCCAGTCCTATTGGGATCACAGGGGGCAGTGCTCATTGTGTTCCCGCGGTGCCAGGCCAGCCCCTTTCTTTTCCCTGCCTGCCTGCAGACCCAGCGCGCCTTTTCTTTGCCTCCATTACCCCTTGCTAAACTGGCATCTATGTGTGGCCTGCAGGATTCTCACACTTGCTTGTGTTCTTATCATTATGAACCCAACTTCTTCTGTGCTCATCATGCTTGACAGAAAGAGCCAAAAAAAACCCAGAAAGAGCCAAATACCCCAAATAACCTACACATTTCCTTTCGGCTCTTTTCAGATGAGCCTCCTGACCTTGACCCTTGGGTGGATCTTCTAGCCTTTCCTCTTCCCACTCCTGTCCTGGCCGCACATCCTTGAAAAGGCTCTTGTCCCTGCTGCCCTTGATCCTGCAGGAGACTCTGCTGCCTCGGTCCGTCCATCTGTCCGTCCCCCCCCCCCCAGGATTCTACCTTTGCTTGCTAGGTGAAGTATCCAAAATGATGGGGCCAGGGCAGGAGGGCTGAGAGGCTGGCAAGGTTATGAAACCTGGCTTGACATGACCTAGTGGGCTGGGAAGGAGGGAGGGAATGTGAGTGTGTGTGTGTCAGAAAGAGAAAGAGAGAGAGAGAGAGATTGTTATCAAAGAAATAATTACAGAATTACAGAATATTTCTGAAGGAGAGGGGGATGGCAGAACAGGGTGGAGGGACATTGTTGAATCTCTTCAGGCAGTTCATCCCCATATTACCAAGTGGGCTTTTGGGGGCCATACTAAATTCTTATGGTGGCTGGATCCAAGTATAGAGGACCTAAGTGTCAATTCCAGGGTGTTGCAGGCAACTAGCCCAAAATCTCTCAGCCACCATGAAAGTAGCGCTGAAAGGGATATTTTCAAAAGCAAAATCTGAAATCAAACAAAATTCCAGTCTTTAATGCTGAGCACATTTTTTCCGGTTTCCATTTATAAACTGGAAGGCAGAGAAATGTTCAAGATTTCTGAATACATTTTTTAAAGAAAAAACATATTTTTTTCCCAGGCCGTTCATCAGTGTTTGAATTTGACAGTCTCAGCTGTACAAGAGCACCGAATAGCACCACACTGGTGTGATGTTTAAATTTCAGCGCTGTGTGCAGCTCAGACAAGCCTTCACTTTTGGCATGTCATGTGGCAGGACCCTGAAGGGCTTCTGCTCTGGCTCCGTTCTCCTGACACGCTGTGACTTTCCTTTCTCCACAGGCCAGGGAAAGGGAGGGGGGAAACCATAGCACAGAAAGTTCTCTCTGCTCTTCTCCCCGAGTCGGTACTGCAGTCGGAGCTTCTGAAACAGCATCTCAAACAATCCAGCAAATGACTGCCAGTAAAGGAAACGGATGGACAGAGACCATTCTGTGTTCCCTAATTCTCTGAGGGATGGGAACTTCCAGAAGCAGCATTATCTGGGTTAGCTCCTTTTGGAGGACAGCCAGCAAGAGCTGGAGATTTATGGTGTTTGTGTAGCATTTGTTTTATTTAGAAATAAGCAAGGAGAGCGCAACTGGAGGCAAAGAGGCACTCCTACATGGCCCATATTAGATTCCGGGAGAAAGAGAGACCTCGCGGTGCTTCAGCTAACTGATGGGAAGGGGTGGGGTGGCTATTTAACTGGCTGGGAAAGTGCCTGGTGGGCCACCACCCTAGAGAGCCACGGATGGCCAGGGGGAAGCCGAGGTGAGCCTCAGCAGCAGTGGCAATGCCCAAGGGCTGCTCTTTTCAGACCTGGCCAATGCCAAATGAGGCAATGAGTACACCCGTGGTCATTATAACAGCATCATTATCTGAATAAAGTCTGAGTCTGGTGGCACCTTTAAGAGCAACGAAGTTTTATTTGTCGGTCTGAAAGGTGCCACTGGACTCAAACTTTGTTCTGCTGCTTCAGACCCACACGGCTACCCCACCTGAATCTCACATCACTATCTGTTACTGCTACTCAGCTCCTGGGTCACATCAACATCTCCACTGGCCTCTGCCCACAGCTGTCTGTCTCCTTTCTCTGTCTTTTCCCAGACTCAAAACCTTTCATTTCTTCTCTCAGACACACACCCCTGCTCCCTGCTAGTCCTCACCTGGGAAGAATTACCTCCTCCAAGCTCTGATAGATGCTTGACAGAGTTGTTAGGGGACCATCACCAAACAATTAAAACCGACTGAAGATCATTCATAGTCTGGTTCCCCGCCTCTTACTGAGACCTATTCATACAAGACAGTAAGCCAGGACTAGGGCAAAGCTATGGGATTTAGCCCCAAGGGACAGCAGAATCAGCCACCAACACTCCTTTCCCTTGGAGTGGGGGATTCTGTGCATCGGTAACTTTAGTAGGTTTCTGCAAGGGAGTAAAACCCATCTTTTCTTTGGAACACAGAATAAGGCACAACTAATGGCAGCTGGGAAAAAGAGGACCTGCAGTGTCCACGTGGGCCTAGCATTGAGGAGAATCCACATGAGGCTTGCAGGTCATTTATTTTCAAATGTATACTATAAAGAAGAATATAGAATAAAATCAAAAACATCATCACTCTTAAAACATGAAAGACCGTTACATAGCAGCAGAAATTATACAATATCACAGAGTTTCCTTGAAATGATGCAGAGGAAAAATGCATGGCCAAATAGCCTTCCTTAGTTTCTCTTGCAGTCTGATTTTCACTCGGCCTGCTGTCTTGAAGCTGAGAGCTTTCTTTGGACATCTGCTGAGATACCATTCTTTAACTAGGGAGGATCTAAAAGCTTGGATTATATTTCCCAACCTTGCAGAGCATGTAGGCATTCTGGGAATTTTAAGAAGGGTGCACAGAAAATACCACACCCTGGACCATATTTGGTTCATTGATGCATTGAACATTGGCATGATACAGCCACAAGAGCAGCTATAAAGTTGAGGGATGTTCATTTGTTGCTGTTTTAACCTTAACAGTGCCCCAAAATTACATTCATTCATAAAACCAAGGCCATTTGTCCTATAAGTATGAAATTTGGCATGAAGAATCTACCTAAAAGGCAGTGTAATGTGGCCAGATTCCATGACATAAGAATATAAGAGACACCAATGTTGGATCAGGGCCAAAGGCCCATCCAGTCCAACACTGTGTCACACAGTGGCCAGAAATACCAGTGCCATCAGGAGGTCCACCAGTGGG